ATTCTGCTGTTGCTCAAGGTGCAGCTACTGCAGTTGCTAGCAGAGGCAATGTTCTGTCGGCAGTGTGGAATTTAGTCATGTTCTTGGTATTCTGCTGTGCCAGGTACTTGCCAGCTGTTGTTTTTTACCTGTGCCCGTAGTCATTTTTGGCTGCTGATGCTGCAGAAGTTGGTGTGCTGTGGTGTTGGCTTGGTTGGGGTGCCTCTGCCTCAAGCAGGCACAGCAGTGGGGGGTTACAGGGTAGTCATAGCTCTCTATGGCACTCTGATAATTGCACTTATTTCAGCAGTTTCTTACTCATTTCATGTTACTGAGACTTCATCAGGGGACAGTCTGTGTTTTCCTATTCTACTGTGACTGGTTTCTTCTCTGGGATTTCAGGAAAAAGAAGATACTTGTGTGTGCCCTAAAATCATTGTGATTACATGAATAGTCTATGTTCAGGTTTTCTGCTATTTCTAAGATGCATTGGTGCTTCTTATAATAGGATGTGCAACTACCAATCCACCAGAAACTATTTTCTGGGGAATTAACTTTGCTTTCTGTGATTGTTATCTCTGTAAGGCCATGTGGTACTGAATGGATTCTGTCGGACACTCCTGGGTATTCTAATCATCAAGATAAACTTGAGTTTTGTTGGGTTCCCTGTGAACAAAGCAGAGACAACTGTGATACTTCAGCCACTGTGCACGTGCCGTCATGTAACACTACCCACATGCGTAAACATCAGTGTCCCAGAGCTGCAGTGCTGTCAGAGTGGGCATTGGTTCAAGTTGACGCAGTTTCAGTTTGCCAAGGCAAGCAGTTACCCAGAGCTGACTTTCCAGTGACACCTTCTTCACACACAAGTTTTCTTTAGAGATTTTGGTTTAAAATAAGAGATGTTCTACAGGCTGGAGCAGCTCTGCACTGAAGGCAGGCTGAGAGAGCTGGGCTTGTTCAGCCTGGAGAAGAGAAGGCTTCTTAAGGGGAGACCTTAGAGCAGCTTCCAGCGCCTAAAGGGGCTACAAGAAACCTGGAGATGGGCCTTGGACAAGGGCCTGTAGGGACAGGACGAGGGGGAATGGCTTTAACCTGACAGAGGGGAGAGTGAGATGAGACATTAGGCAGAAGTTCTTTCCTGTGAGGGTGCTGAGGCACTGGCACAGGTTGCCCAGAGAACTGTGGCTGCCTCATCTCTGGCAGTGCTCAAGACCAGTGTGGACGGGGCTTGGAGCAGCCTGGTCTAGTGGAAGGTGTCTCTGTCTGTGGCGGGGGTTTGGAACTGGAAGAACTTTAAGGTCCCTTCCAACCCAAACACTTCTATGAGTCTGTGAAGGCCTTAGCTCTTCTAAATCATAACACAGCTTAATGTGTGCATAGAGGACACCCACAGTTGATACAGGTCATGATTGCACTGAGTCAGACCACACTGGTGGCGAGGATAGGTTTTCATAAAAGGAGGACTAATTTCTTCCACCCAGTGATCTTCCGAGTGCTCAGATAAATGCTGGGGAAAGAATGGACTTCATAGTCTTTGCTTTACAAGCTGGCCTGATTCAGGTTCAACGAAAATAAGATACTCTTGAGGATTTTGGGAAAAGTTCATGAAAGCTTTTGGGAATTCTAGAAGGTTTTTATGCAAATAGGTTTAAATGTGTATTTTGTGTATTAGCTGTGACTTGCTGGCTTCGAAACAGGGACAGATGAGCTGAAGCTTCAGAGATGATGTGTCTTTTCATATACCTCATGTCTGCTTGTAGGGAAAATAGATTAAGTAGAAGGTAATCCAGGCATTGATATTTGATTCTTCTTGTGATATCCTCACTTCATAGAGGATACCAGAGGTACAAGAAAGCAGCTGATGTTGTGTCTTTACCACTGACAAAGCATGGAATTAATTAGAGGTGGCAATGACCAGGATTCCTGAGTAATAGGAATGCTAACGCTGAAGCTAATTTTCAGAGATTTCATAAGCAAGATACTTGCTTGTAACCAAAGAGTGGTGTTGCTGTTGTAACTCTTCTTCTGAAATGGTACATGTTTTCTGAAATGGATATTACTAATCCAGGGGAATGAGTTTTGGGTCAAGAAATTTCATCCCACAGTACTGTCCTTCTTAGCAAGCTGCCAGTTCTTTTTGTCTTTGTTTGTAAGCTCCTTTTGTCTGTATAATATAACAAATAGAAGTCACAGAGTGATGGATGACTTCATTCACACTTAATGTTGACAGTTTCATTCCTGAGCATGGCAGCATATTTATTTACATCTACGTGTATATATGTGTGTGGGTATAAAATAAAGAAGACTTTTTCAAGTCCTCTTTCCTGTGCTTCTCACTTTCAGCTGAAAAGGAAATAGTCAAGGGAAGATAAGACTTTTGAGATTTTTGTCTCAGCTCTCACCTCATTGGTGCTTTGGAATGATGCTGTTTGTGACTCCTTTCACTTGTTTCAGTGTCCTTCTCTTCCAGTGTTTGATTGCTGTCAGTCTCATAATATTTACCAGAACATTAAAGGAGCAGCAGATTCTGCCTGAAGTGCTGGAATGGGTGATGTTCTTTGAAATTAGTCATAGTCTCCTTTGCGTTTAGACAAAACATGAGCTCACTTCCCGTGCTCTCTTCCCAATGTGAACGCCAAGTGCTCCAAAGGATGGTCTCTTGTGAGGGAGAAGGAAACTGGAGCTAACTCCCAACTGACAGAATCTTAAGGATTTTTCCATTGGGACTGAAAGTTTTTTCGTACCTTGCAGAAAAACAATGCATTCTCATTCTTATTGGGCATGTAGCAGCATCATCTATAGACATCTCCACACCAGGGAAAACTTAAAAGTTCCCATTGTTGCAGCTCTATTTCTGCTAAGAAATCTTGGGATTCCTCATGCAGATACATTTACCTCAGTCCTCCTTGTGCTGGCAGCATCAGGATGTCCCAGGAAGGATGTTCTAATGTTCAGATTTGTTCCTAAATCTTCACATTATATCAGTTGAGAGAAAACCTGACGTCTGTTTTCAGTGTGATTGTGGCAAAGCAGCTTTATCAGGGCTCACTCTTCTGATATTGTCACATCTGTACATCTGCGGGAGTGGTAAATGTGCTGATTTACAAGTCCTACAACAACACAGCAGAGTACAATCCCATGTGTATTTTGGCAAAACACTTTAGCGCTGGGAAATCTTTTGTTGATAGCTGAAGTGCTGAGCAGGTAATCAGCTAATTTTGGCAATTGTTTGAGTAGGAATGTTGTTGTCTGTGTAGGAGTTTGTCACAAAAGCATTTTCAGTTTAATCTGAATACAAACACATGCAAACTAATGGTAGTAACTAGGGAGACATTATGGAGAGGGTATCTCTTAAAAGAAAGCAGCATTCAGCTTCAACTGCCTGCTAAGCACTTCCCTGGAAGATTTTCTGTCTGACTCTGAGCACCCTGAGACCAGAATGGTAAGATTCAGGCTGTGGTACAGGTCATTCAAATATGAAGGAGAGAGCAGGCAGCCTGTGAAGCAGCCTGGCATTCAGAGGACGAGGTGTCTGAAAACTGGCGAAGAGCTGAGGGGAATTCCTAAGCAGAGCTCTGGACCAGCATGGACTAATAGCGTAAATGTAAGCTGCATTTATCAGCTGAAGCCAGGCACCTTGGAATGAGTGTGTATGAGAGTTTCTTGCTTAAAGCAAAGAGTGAGCATATGTTGTTCTATCACTTTGATGTTCTTTCAAAGAGAATAGTTACAATCCATATTATTCTGTTGTCAAATGCATTTGAAAACTAGAAAACATATGTCGGGGACATGTTCTGCAAATAGTTATCAACAGTGTTGCAGAAGTATTTGGTTTAGAGGGTTCCTTGGAATCCACCATTCAAATTCATATTTCTCTTGAGTTATCTTGAAAGGGGCTGTCATTCTACCCTATAGCAAAGTGAGGGCATTGTGGAGCTTAACTTGACCCTAGCAAAGCCTCTGATCCTGTTGCTCTTAGTGGAGAGGTTCTTCCAAAGGGCTTAATTCAGAGTCTGTAAAAATGAGTGTTTTGCTCATGATTTAAAAGCACTACCTCTGTCTGTGGTCTGTAGAAGGCTAAATTTAGTCTGTAATCCTTTGAACATCCTTTATTCACTGCTGTATTTCAGCAAATCTTTCATTCCAGAAAGGGATACATTTTTCCTCACAGCTTGATGGTTTCAATTGCATAAATGAAGACTACGGAGGAGGATTCCAGATGCTGATTTTTGATTGTCTCTTATCCTTTGTATGGTTTTAAGGAGTTTTACTGCATCCTTTTGATTCCACAGAACAAAACTGTAAATCCACCAGTGAAAAAGTGTGAAATATTCCAGTTTTCTTTCTGCAATCCTACTGCAGGAGGGAAACTGATAGCAATTGCAGAAATCAGTGATAAACTCCAGGGTCAGTTGCCTGCCACCTCTGACTGCCGCTTTGCCAGAACAAAGTGTAGCAAAGTGCAGGAGCTGCAGCAAATTAGGCTCAGTGGCAGTAGTTCAAGTTGCTGGATGAAAGAAACATCTGGCCCATTGCTCTGGGAGCCTTTTTGGGGTTTGATGCTATGAACGGTGCTCTAAAAATGTCAGATGTTATGTGCTGTTAGAGAAGGAGCTCAGCGTGTGTCACTGACAACTGAGCTGTGTGTTTAAAGGGTGCGCTGTTAGGGCTCCTCTTGGGTTCACTTATCCTGTATTTATGCTTCTCACTGTTGGTGATGGACACTGCTGTAAAAGTGAGTCTACACCGCAGATATTTTTCTGTGATGGGTCTTCGGCATGGTTGTACTTTGCCTGCTCACCAGTTCTTTGTTCCTGGTTTGAACCTCAGTGCTCCAGTGTCACTATGCACATGCTGCAGGGTTTCCTAACTAGACCAGGCCAGTCACTGACTCCAATGCCAAGCTCCCGTTGGGGCAACCTTGTCATTCCTCTTGGTTTTCAGCTGCCACAGCTGCCACGCTTCAGAGCTCACTGCATTGCCTGTAACTTGTTATTCTTTTACTTCCCCCCATGCAGAGCATGATGAGTGTGGCAGCCGGCACCAGAGCTGTGATGAGAACGCTATCTGCACCAACACTGTGAGGGGACACAGCTGCACCTGCAAACCCGGATACGTGGGGAATGGGACCATCTGCCAAGGTGAGGCTGCACTTGAGGAACATGGCAGAGCAGCAGCTCTAGTTATGATTTCTGACAGTCACCCATGTTCTGATAATTTATGATGGCTGCTTTCTGTCAATGACGCGCTGTAAGATTTATCAGCTGGCAAATGGAGTATGGATGGAGGTGATGGGAATGGATTTGAACATAAATTCTTAGCAACAAGGAGATATATGTTTTGGAATGCTCAAACCCCCTTCTCATTTACTGTCACTGTATACTGTCATTTGTGCTAGTATCAATCAGCTTTGAAATGGTGTTAATTGCTTTATAAACTGTGGATGGTATGTGCTGTCACCTCTAGCTTTTAAAAGTTATCATAGAATCCTGGAATGGTTTGGATTGAAAGAGACCTTAAAGGTCGTCCAATTCCAATACCCGACCATAGGCGGGGATACCTTCCACTAGACCAGGTTGCTTCAAGTCCTGTCCAAACAGGCCTTGAACACTGCCAGGGATGGGGCAGCCCCAGCTTCTCTCGGCAACCTGTGCCAGCACCTCACCACCCTCACAGAGAAGAACTTCATTATATCTGACCTAAATCTCCCTGTTTAATCAGATGCCCTTTAAATTAAGAGTAATTGTCTTTTATGCTAACATCATTTGGTTTTCATTTGACTACTCACATCAAAATAGATGTGTTTTGGTTTTAAATCTTTAAATCTTTTTAGCTGCCTTTTGAGATAGGTGTAAGGGGAAATAGAGGAAACAGAGTGTGTTCTGGTATTCTGACTGGGAAGCATAAATTGAAAAGAGAATTAGGAAGGGCTTTGCAGTCTAATAATAATTCAGGTCACCAGGGATAACAATAATCTGGCACTGCATGGGATAGATACTGTTGCAAACTAGCTAATGTTAGAACTGTGAACATTTTGTTAAGTGATAAACCACTCAATGTAAAGTAGCAGTCTGATTTTCTCATCCTGTGGCTCTGTGGTCACTTGGACTGCTAGTGTAAGATAATGTCCTGGGTTCAGCAGTAGCAGTCATGTTTCTCCTTTGTGGTAGCTGGTGCAGCTGTGTTTTGACTTCCAGCCTGGGAACAGTGCTGGTGATACCGATGTTTTCGGTTGTTGCTAAGTGATGTTTACCCTGACCAAGGACTCTGTGAGGCTCATGCTCTGCCAGGGAGGAGGGGAAGCCGGGAGGAAGCAGAGACAGGACACCTGACCCAAACTGACCAAAGAGGTATTCCATACCACAGCACGTCATGCCCAGGGTGGGGGGTAACTGGGAGTTACCCGGAAGGACACGGGCTTCCAGGTGGGACTCGTTTCTTGGCCGGTGGTATTGTATTCTCTTCCCTTGTTATTTTCTCTTATCATTGTTGTAGTTGGTAGTAGCGGTGGTGATTTGTGTTGTACATTGGTTGCTGGACTGTTCTTGTCTCAACCCGTGGGAGTTGCACTTTTTCGATCCTTCTCCCCATTCCTCTGGGAGCAGGGAAAGGGAGAGCCCTGGGGGGGTAGTGGGGGGGTGGTGGTGTGCCCTCGATTGCTCTCAGCCCGGCACCACTCACTGGGAGTGAGTGAACAAGCTGTCTGGCTAGGGTTTAAACCACGACAGATATGTTCTTATTCTGCCCGTGGTAGCACCACAAACACCACTTTTGCCTCTGTTTTACCACGGCAATATGTTATCTGTTAGCAGTCATATGGGTTTTTTTGCACAAGTGCCAGGGTTGGCACATGGAAAGAGGTGTGAGCATGTCTGGACAACTACAGACTGCTTATGATGCCTTGTAGTAATTTGGGAGTTTTATCTTCAGGCAGTAGAGGTAGGAAAAAACCAGATAAAAGCCCAGGTGATAAGTTAATGTAATACCATCTGAAGATATGCTGAACATTTCCCTCCTCCTTGAGTCATCTGTAAGTGACTGATAAATCCCTGTATGTTATGAATGTGTACATATAGAATACAACTGCTACTGAAATAACTTATCTTTATAGTTCAATATGAAATCTTATTAATACTGTCTAGCAAACAGATAAAAAGAAAAATAAGTTTATGATGAGAGAAAAGGACTGGCTTTGTGCCTAATCCTACAGTCTATTTCAACAATCCATTTTAGCAATGTTCTAAAAACGAAAATCAGAGTAACATTCCTCTTTGACTTTAGTGGATAGCACTGTGATAATCTTTATAAAAACCCCACCCTACTGTTATTTGTATTTTAGAGAAGAAAACATATGCATAGTTAAATTAAATTGCCTGGTGAACTACAGGTAAAGATAAAGAAATGACTGGCAGGAATTTGGGATGTTTGCATTTTTTTATGACCAGTGTGGAGAAATAAAAAGGACAGAAATGATCTGGAGAGGAATGTGGTGGTTGCTGGGGGTTTAGAAAGAATAACAAAACAAATGGGGAAGAGGAAAGCAAATATGTTTTTAAAAAGTCAGTATAATCAGGTTGTCACACTTGTTGAGTAGAAAACCAAATTTCATGCATAAGGAATTGCTTCTAGAACAGACTCTCAAATTAAAGACTGGATTGTGTCAAACCAGATGTGGAAACTGTCAGGAAGGAAGGTGATGGAAAAGACGCAGACTGAGACCAAATGCACTTCTGCATTAAAATAGCTACTCTCAGAGCTTAAGTGACATAAAAACGGAAAGAGTAGTGGAGATGAACACAAGAAAATCTTTATAAATGCACAGTTAACAGTATACAGACAGTGAGCCAATATAATAGAGAGAAATAAGACTTCCCTCCTGTGGTCATTCTCAATTTTGGTGCAAGAAGCATCCTTTAGCACCTCAGAAAGACACTGAAATTTTGGCAGTAGATAAGCACAGACTGAGGCTGAGGCTGAGGTGACCTGAAATGATAGGGCAGGATAAGGCTGTGCCAGCACCATTAGGAAATTTGACAGAATTAGACAGGTTATATTTTAGGATTGGTTCAGAAAATGAGAAGTAATACAGGGAGATCTTTGCTGGAAGAAATTACAGCATGAAAGGCAGAGGACAGAGGTATAACTAGTTGAATTGAGGAATGCTGAATCTACAGATTGAAGTTGCTTGTTTCTGTGAAGGAGACGCTGGATAAAAAGTGAAAATAACCAGGAGTGATTTGGGAATGAGAAGTTGTAGGTGGGTAACGGGAGACTCATGCCATGCCCTTTCGCAGATTCCGTGTAAATTACAGCATTCACAGGTGAGCGTGGAATAAAGACAATTGGAGCAATTTCACTCAACTTCAGGATAGGATTTGATGGTGCAGCAAAAAGGCTGAACTTAGGGTAGAAGTGAGAGGTGATAAATATTGGTTTAGCAACTGAATGTTTTAGTTTAAAGGAAAAAGAAAACAGAAGCAAGTGTGATGGCTTAATGACTGTGTAGGATAACACAGGACTTTGCAGCATGCCTGTTGGGATAGACCTGGTAGGAAATCAGTGTTTAGTGGCAATGGTTTGGTGAAAGAAATCTTAGTTTCCTGGGACAACCAGGTTTATGAATAGCCTGTCACCTATGGACAGGGCTGTGTGTGCAAAAGTAAAATTCCATCATGTAGAAAATGAGTAAAACTCCCTGTCATGACTCTGACTGGAGAACTGGGGATCATGAAGAGAGATAAATAGCATATTTAGGCTCTAAAGGCTCTTGGTCTGTGTCCTGTTGCTGTGTGTGTGACATCTTGGCAGGCTTTGAATCTGGGAGGCTGGGAAATGTGTGCAGGGAAATGTCTTTCTCTGCTTTTTTGCCTTGAGAAGTTCTGGTTCTAGTTCCTCTCGGCAGCTGTGTTGCACATTGTTGTTTAAGCCCAGCTGGCAACCCAGAACCACGCAGCCACTCACTCACTCTGCCCCTCTTACCCCCCCGGCTCCCGGAGGGATGGGGAGGAGAATCAAAAGAAAGTAAATCCACGGGTTGAGATAAGAACAGTCCAGTAACTAAGGTATAACACAAATCACTACTGCTACCACCAGTAATAACAATGATAAGCGAAATAACAAAGGGAGAGAATACAACACCTCACCACCTGCCGACTGATCCCCAGCCCGACCCGAGCAGTGATCTAGCTCTTCTGGGTAACTGCCCCCAGTTTATATACTGGGCATGACGTGCTGTGGTAAGGAATACCTCTTTGGCTAGTTTGGGTCAGGTGTCCTGTCTCTGCTTCCTCCCGGCTTCCCCTCCTCCCTGGCAGAGCATGAGGCTCACAAAGTCCTTGGTCAGAGTAAACATTACTTAGCAACAACTAAAAACGTCTGTGTTATCAATGTTGTTCCCAGGCTGAAAGTCAAAAACACAGCATTGCACCAGCTACCAAGAAGGAGAAAAATGACTGCTACTGCTGAACCCAGGGCGCACATGCTGTGGAAGTGATGTGTGGAAATGGGATGTGCCATTTGTCAAAACATGAGGGACCTTGTGCTCCACGAGCTACTTTACCTTAGTGAGATGGGAGCTGAAGAAGATTTGCTGTGGGATGGACACAGTTTAGCAGAAGTTAATTACAGGGCTTGTGCCTTGTACCGCAGCCAAGTATATTAAAACATCAGCAAGTTTCCTAAAATAACTGATGACATTTGAGATTAAATGCTCTAAAACAAGCCAACCAACCCTGATGCCACCCACCAGATCATGTAGGGGCTCTTGAGCTGACTTCTGTGCATGAACAATGTGCGAGTCACCATCAAGGTTCCCGTTGCCATCAGTTGTTTTCTGTTGTATGAGGAAACCTGGATTTGATACACAAGCCTTGCCCCAGCTCTTGGAGTTTTGTTCCAAATGTTTGTTTTAATGTATATTTTCTGCCCATAGTAGTCCTTATAGATGATCAGAAAAACAGAAGTGGCCTTGAATATAGTTCAGTGGTAAACAGCAGCAATTCTTCTGAAGCATGGATGAAGTGTGTTTGCTAATCTCTTCTGGTGTCTCTCTCATGGGAAATCTGATATGCAAAGTAACCATGTTTTGAACAGATAATCTTACTGTTTTTATAAGGTAATGGGAATGATCACATGGAGTCAT